AAAAGACCATCAATATCTTTGGAGCATCAGTAAAAAGGGATAGAGGAAAGGACAAGTTTGTGGAGCCCCTGGAAAAACAACTGTGAGGACAGTGCACAGAGAAAAAACTGACAAGAGGGAAAAAACCCAACTTTCTCCAGCCTTTTCTTCTTGTTTTGGGTTTTTTTTTTGCAGATCTAGGTGAGACCATGGGCCACAGGGAAGGAATATGAATAACTCTGAGCCTTAAACCCACAACGGGGCAGACTTCTCCAGTTTCCTTTGGGCCTGAACACTCGGCAGGTTGGGGCAATGGATGATTTCCCCTGGTTTTCGGGCAGAGCCAGCTGGCTCAGCCAGTCGTGCTGGCCCAGCCCGTGGCTCCTCGCACGCGTGGCAAGCCAGCCTTGCTTTGGCCTACAAGCAATGCTGCTGGTGTGTCTGGCACAGCCCCCCCGCATCTCCAGAAGCAGCCGGGCAGCCCCCACAAAGGGGGCTGATATATAACTGGCCCCATTCCCCCGGGATGGAAGCCCAAACGTCCCCCACAGTTCAGCACCAAAGCAAAGGCTCGGGATTGCAGCTGCCCCCCGCAACACTCCCTGCATCCGACCGCCCAGTGTTCCCAGGGACCCGTCTCGGCTGCCAGGGAGATGCAGGCTGGGAGCTCGGGGCAGCATCGACGGCGCTCGGGGGTGTTGGGCAGGCGGTGAGCAGCTGCGCTGAGACGGCCCCGAGACGGCCCCGCTGCCGCCGCGGGGCTGCACACAAAGGGCTCTGCCGTTTGCAGCATTTAAGGAATCCCACCAAAATATTTCCCTAAACATATTTAAATTCAGGAGCAAAAAGAGATGAATGACAGCGGCCTGCCTTTTATAGTTCAAGGGAAAGATATACACAGCTGCTTGTTTAAATTATGAATCAATCCATTATCTAGCAGACAAATAAGCAGTATTCAGCACGTTAATTAACTGAGCATATCTGTGACCCAGATGCTTAAAAAGAGACAGAAATCACGCTGGGAGTTCGGGTTATCTCAGTTAGAATAATTAAACATTGAAAATCAAGTTAAAACAATGTAACAGGGTCCGACTCCAGCTCCTAACTACACATACAGTTAGAGAATAGAATCAGAGAATCATTAGGTTGGAAAGGACCTCTAAGATCATCAAGTCCAATCGTCAACCCAATACCACCATGCCCACTAAATCACGGCCTGAAGTACTACATCTACACATTTTTTGAACACCTCCAGGCGTGGTGACTCCACCACTTCCCTGGGCCGTCTGTTCCATTGTTTGACCACTCTTTCAGTGAAGACTTTTTTCCTAATATCCAATCTAAACCTCCCCTGGCCCTTGAGGCCATTTCTTCTCGTCCTATTGCTAGTTACCTGGGAGGAAGGACCAACCTGACCTCGCTACAACCTCTTTTCAGGTGGTTGTAGAGAGCGATAAGGTCTCCCCTGAGCCTCCTTTTCTCCAGACTAACCAACCCCAGTTCCCTCAGCCTCTCCTCATAAGACTTGTGCTGCAGACCCTTCACCAGCTTTGTTACCCTTCTTTGGACACACTCCAGTATCTCAAGAACCTTAGTTATTGAAGCCAACTTCGCCTTCCTTCCATGCTGCTGACTGCAGGTATAGGTGTGCTGAATCCTCTGGCTGGCCCTCGTGCTGCCCATCTTCCTTGGGACGGGTGCCCAGTGCGCTCTGCTCCCAGCTGCTGGTGGAGTTACATTTAGCCAACGTGTCGTGCATCAAAGCAAGGCCCTACTCGACATCTCACTGAGATCCATTTGCCAATGGTACCCACCCCCGGAGGTGGATTCGTCTGCGGTACGAAGGCAGAGGGGGGTGTGCATGGATGCAGGGCAGCCGACACCATTCCCCTGATGCTGGTGTGGGGCAGAGCTGCCCCGTCCCATCCCCCAGAGCAGGATATGCTCTTCTGCTCCTCAAATCCCTTCACAAGATGGTGCAGAAGAGCAGACATCTCTTTTGCTTTACATTTAATTCCCTCTCCAAACTGCAGCAGGAGTGGAAAGGAAGGCCGACAGCAGAGCTTAAAGCCATAACCATCACCTCGTCCTCCTCCCATTGATTCACTGTCTCGCCCAGGCATGGGGTGCCCGACTGCAGGATGGGTCCCTGTCCACCACTGAGCTCAGCTCACACTGTGCCAGGCTCCCAGCAAGGGAGCATGAGGCTGGAGCAACCTGGGAATGACTCCCTGGGCACCTCCAGCCCAGCTGAAGGCTCAGATTGACATTATTTGGTTTTAGCAGTTTGATGTTTTGATGAGCCAAGCCTCGGGCGAGATGGTGCTCTCAGCCTGACAGTGTGTTTTTAACCACGCAACTCATCTGAATTAGTATTTGAGCACCAACACAGAGAATGAGCTAAAAGAAAGAGGTACATAGAGGAAAAGACAAAAAAAGACAAGCCCTCTCCATGACAGACAGAAGAAATAATCCAGAGGTCCCAAATGGGCAGTGCAAGCCACTCTCCTTCTTCTGTTTCCTACCACATACATAATTAGTGTGCTAGACACTTTCTTTTTTTCATGATGTTTGGCAGCTTGTCTTCAGACAGCTGGCCTAACGCCCACAAGGCAACACGATTTCTGCTCTTACATGTTATCGCCTAATGTGGTGGGAAAAATAAGTAGAGCAAAAATCCAATCTTTCCCGAGGAAGGGAGCGGGGCGGGGGCTGGAGGGAGACAAAAGGAGCTGAAAAACAAACACAGGTATTATGAAAAATGCATTAAGTGCATCTATTAGATGTGTCATCTACTACGTATAACAGATAAATAAAGCCCCGAACACGCAGCCGGATTAGCACACTGCCTGACGCCGGGTCTGCTCTGCCGCGTGCAGTGGAGGCCCCCCCGCCGTCCCAGCCTTCGAGCCTGTTCAACCACCAAACCTGAGAGTGATTATTCCCCCAAATCCCATCTAACTCGTGAGTGCAAGTTCTGCTGCGCTCCTAAGACATTGATGGAATTTTTGTCTTTTGGAATATTTTGCCTTCGATGCCTTAATTCTTCTGTTGCTTTGCTCCTCTCCAGTCCAAGCCCAGGGTGGCAGCCGGGGCTCTCAACCCCACGGTGGCAGCGGGGGGTGATGCACTCGGGTAAATGGGGTTCCTGCTGCCGTTGGGTCTGTCTTGAGTGGGAGAAAACACAGAGCAGAGGCTAGCTGTGGGGAGTGCACCCACAGCCCGGCTGGCACTTTCTATCTGGATTTGCCTGGTAAGAGAAGAGATGGGAAGTGCCTCTGTCTCATCACCATTTCCTGCATTGATCAACATTGTGAAGAGTAGCTCCAGACAATGCGCTCCCATAAGACCTGAGCCAACCTTAGAAACTGAAGATGCCATACCAATGTTTTATAATATCCTGTGGGGAGTGCACCCACAGCCCGGCTGGCACTTTCTATCTGGATTTGCCTGGTAAGAGAAGAGATGGGAAGTGCCTCTGTCTCATCACCATTTCCTGCATTGATCAACATTGTGAAGAGTAGCTCCAGACAATGCGCTCCCATAAGACCTGAGCCAACCTTAGAAACTGAAGATGCCATACCAATGTTTTATAATATCCATAAATTATACCTGCCGTTGTTATTAAAACCTGGTGAGTGGCTGCAGCAATTCAGCAACTCAACAACTCAGCATTATGAGCAAAGTCGCCTCCTCCAACACAGCCAGCACGGCCCCAGAAGATGACGTCTGGGAAAGGCAGTTGATGAGAACTTACCCTTTGGCTACACATGAAAGTTGAATGAACAAGATGGAACAGTGAGAGGTCTCTGCCTGATCAATATTGCAAGTGCTCATAGGGATATTCAGCATCAGTGCAAAATACCCCCGGGGTAACACTGCTTCTTGTCTCAGGGGAGCACAACAAGGGCCTGCCATGAGCAGGAATTCAATATCCTCCTTCTTTGGGCACCGTGTTTGAGAGTATCAGCAACGTAACTGTGTAAATCCTGCTGTCTTGCCCAGGACTGTAAGCGATCCACCTGGCATCACCTGAACAGTCTGTGCTCTCCCTCGCTCCTCCTCATGCTCTTCCCACAGGATCTGGGAAGGCACTTCCATCAAATGTTCTCCCGTTAGACCACATCACTTTCCTCCTCTCAGATGTTTCCTAAGGATCATCATAGAATCATAGAATCACAGAATGGTTTGGGTTGGAAGCGATCTCAAAGACCATCTAGTTCCAACCCCCCTGCAGGGACACCTTCCACTACACCAGGTTGCTCAAAGCCTCATCCAATCTGGCCTTGAACAAATTCCAGGGATGGTGCAGCCACAACTTCTCTGGGCAACCTGTGCCAGTGCCTCATCATTGTAAAAATTTCTTCCTTAGATCTGATCTAAATCTCCCCTCTTTCAGTTTAAAGCCATTGCCCCTTGTCCTATCACTACACACCCTTGTCCAAAGCCCCTCTCCAGCTTTCTTGTAGCCCCTTTAGGTACTGGAAGGCTGCTAGAAGGTGTCCCCGGAGCCTTCTCTTCTCCAGGTTGAACAACCCCAACTCCCTCAGCCTGTCTCCATAGCAGAGGTGCTACGGCTCTTGCATCATTTTCGTAGCCCATTGTCCCTCCTGTTCTTCATTCTTTCACTACTAACCACCCCAAAAATGTTGCCTACGTCAGCAAGTGTCTGAACAAGGCTACTCCCTTGCAGATCCCATGGCTGCTTTGCAGCCACCAATGATTTCCTCACATGGTCATCGTGGTGCTTACAAATAATAGAAGTTTGTCTTTTTTCAAAGGAGATTATTTCATTGATGAAGGTTTTGCCAAAGTGCAGTCCGGTCACAGGATGTTAATAGCCCACTTCACACAACCTGGAGAAGAGGAGGCTGAGGGGACACCTGATTACGGCCTATAAATACTTGAGAAAAGATGGTGGGGAGGTGGGGGAAGGGCTCTTTACATTAGTGATGGGTGATAGGACAAGAGGAAATGGGCATAAGCTTAGTCAGGGGAGATTCAGGTTGGATGTTAGGAAGTATTTCTTCTCTGAAAGGGTTGTCAGCCACTGGAATAGGCTGCCCAGGGAGGTGGTTGAGGCCCCATCCCTGGATGTGTTTAAGAATAGGGTGGATGATCTACTTGAGGATATGGTTTAATGGGGATTAGGGATGGTTGGACTCCATGATCTACAAGGTCTTTTCCAACCTAGAAATCTATGAATCTATGAATCTATGAACCTGTTGAATCCAGTGATACTTCATGTAACAAAACTATGTTTGTGGAAAGGCAAATCACTGAACTCATCTCAGTGTAAATTCTGCTTTCTTCACTCTCAAAAATGTATCTGTCCTTTAGAACAATCTACCCCACATATCTCATTGCCAGCTAAGCAGGTTTGTCAGCCTCCAGGACGCAGACCAAGCCAGGCACAAGCTGACCAAACAGTGAATGATACAGCCAATCCAGCAGGAAAAAGACACACGTGCAGGCACCAGCCAGAGGAAATGCCTGAAGGAATTACCCAGCCTGGCACAGGACAAGAAAGGGAAAGACCAAGAGAAAGGACCAGAGAAAACCAGTTTAAAAATAGCAACAAGCTAACTGTTTAAAAGTGGTTAATACTGATGAGGTCTTAAACCCTTTAATTAATGCAAGTGGCCCAAAGCCACACCCCCAGACAGAAACACTGATTGACCCCCACGGCTCTTACGAACACCCTTCCAGGTCAAACTGCATCCCAGGTAGAACATCAGCTTGCAAAGTCCCCCACCCTCAGGTACCTACCACCTTGGGAGCTGCTTTGCCCCGGGGGGACCCGCAGCCCCCGCTGACGCCGGCACAGCGGAGGGGCCCACGGCCGCACACGGGCCCGCGGCATCCCTCGGGCTCATCTCCCACCAGCAAACTTGCACCACCAATACTACTGCTTTGATTATTATTTCTGGCTGGCTGCATCGCAAGGATGGGAGAAAGTTAATTAGACATCTTAGCACCTGGGAAATAAAAGCCTTGATGACCTTCATTGACTCTATTGGAAAATAATTTAGGGCTGTTTAGCTTCCTTTCTGCACTGAGCAGATCATCAATTGGTAACCATAAGTAAAGCGTACAGTGTTTTCTTTTTAACACGATTTAATCTGATGCGCTATTTTGTCACCCTTGCTACTGCTGTGTCCCGGATGATCTCGGTATTGATGGTTTTGTCCTCAAGTTCTGATGCTTAAATGGGCAAAACATATTTTATCCTATAATTAAATGAAATGCTCTGCTGGGTGAACATTATCTTAAGTTTTATAGTATTATGGTGCTTTCTATCACCTTAATATATCACCATAGTTCTGTCACTCCAATGAGGTATTACTATATTATTAGTGTAATACATCATTACGGCAAGGTGTTTTCATGATGTATTGCTTAAAAGATGAAGCCATCAGGAAGAAAAAAAAATCCATGAGCAGGCTCAATATAAGTACAGGATAAAAGGATACTTCATCATGAAATCTGATAATGATTTGACCTGGAAGTGAATGAAAGCAGGGAGAACAGAAAGCTAAAGAGAAAACAAGCGAAAAAACCAAAATTTTCTGCCAGTGATGGATGCTACAGCAGAGGTGCTGCAAGCAAAAGCCAAGACCTCATCTGCATTTGGTGCTAGGAACGGGATGAATTGCACCTAACTGCATCCACCTGAAGGCCACATGCTTAACTCAAACTTAGTTCAGCCACCAGCAGAGAGAGCAGAAACTCAAGATACACCACATGCTGCCCTCCCTTGAATGGGACAAATCTCCCCCCGCAGAGTCAGTCATTCCCCCTCTCTCTGCGTTGGGCTGCTCATCTGTAGATACGCAGCAGCCACAGCGGCAAGTGGCACGGTGTGGGCATGGACTTGGGAAGAGCGAAGACTTCCAGCCAAATCCCAACGTTACCCAGCGTGGCAGGGAACAGGACCCACCACGCTGCTGTTCTTCCATCATTAAAACACCAGCACAGAGCCTGCACCTTACTCTCGCTCGCTGCAGCTGGGGAACCCTCTCCTTCATCAGTAAATGCATTTAAATACGTATGGATGGGCCACAGCATTGAAGAGAGACATGGAGATTTTAGGAGACTCCGTGAACATCGAGCACAGGCACCCACTCTGTGTGCTTTTGGGTGCTGAACAACTCAAAAGGAATTGCAACTCCTTGTGGTTTTTATATACACAAAAAACAAGTGAGCTATTTGAGCAAAGTGTTTACATTACTTCTAATTATATTCCCAGCAATAAATTACAGCACACAGCCCATTAATTAAACAGTAGTAGTGAAAGTCTCATTGCTTTTGTGCGGCGCCCGTGCTTCTGCAAAAGGGTAATTTCAAAGCTTCTGCACTCACTGATAACTACTTTTAAAAAGCATTTTCAAGGAGTTAAACTAATTGCACGGCGCACGAAACAAAAGAACTGCCAAGAACTGGCTCTCAGTTGGAGAGGGAAGGGACAACGCAGAGGTGGAAGACCAAGAAGAAAAATCTGCGCTGAGCTTGTGTGGCAGGTGAGCCGGAGGGAGCCGGCAGCGCTGCAATGTTTGGCTTCAGAACATCAGGTAGGAGAAGAAAACATCGTTAAGTCTAATCACAAAAACAGCTGAGGAAAAAATAACTAACCTGCTTTTAGCCATTCATCTTAAAGCACAGAGCTGGCAGACAATGTCACACTAATTCAGTTTCTCATACTATAATGCACTTAGAGGTTTAAGTTTCCATCCAGAAAGTCCAAAAGGCAGTTTGTGCCATTTAAGAAAAAAAAAGTGTGTATTTAAGCAACAGCTTGGTTATATTTAGCAGTGAGTCGATCAGGCACAGTTGACTGATCTTTGTTTAAAGGCAAGGATAAACCAAAGTGAGATTTTCTTTCTACCCTGAAGGACTCCTGCAGCCAGTTCCTCGGCTCAGGTGGCTCCTGAAGTTTGCAGTTCAAGCTCAGCTGAGCTTTTGGGATTTCTGCCCCTCTACTCAGCTCTCGTGAGACCCCACCTGGAATACTGTGTTCAGCTCTGGAGTCCCCAACACAAGAAGGACATGGAGCTGCTGGAACAAGTCCAGAGGAGGCCACGAAGATGATCCGAGGGCTGGAGCACCTCTGCTATGGAGACAGGCTGAGAGAGTTGGGGCTGTTCAGCCTGGAGAAGAGAAGGCTCCAGGGGGATCTTATAGCAGCCTGCCAGTACCTAAAGGGGGCCTACAGGAAAGCTGGAGAGGGACTTTTTACAAGGGTGTGTAGTGATAGGACAAGGGGCAACAGATATAAACTGAAAGAGTTTTTAAACTGGGGAGATTTAGGTTAGATATAAGAAAGAAATTCTTTACATTGACGGTGGTGAGGCACTGGAACAGGTTGCCCAGAGAAGTTGTGGATGCCCCATCCCTGGCAGTGTTCAAGGCCAGGTTGGATGAGGCTTTGGGCAACCTGGTGTAGTGGAGGGTTTCCCTGTCCATGGCAGGGGGGTTGGAACTAGATGATCTTTGAGGTCCCTTCCAACCCAAACCATTCTATGATTCTATGATTCTATGATTACTGAGTCCTAGTGAGCCTGGAAAGCCCAGGGTGACCATACTGTGAGAACGGGCTCCTTATGCATTGCCATCACCTGAACTATAAATTTTTTTTCTTTTAGCTGAAAATGAACCTCCTTGAGCATGCTGGACCCCCAGATACTCACTAAGGCTGCCACAGCTGTGGTGTCCTGCAGCTCTACGTCCCCACTTGCTCCATCTCAATCTTCAATACACCCTCATGTCAATGAGGCTCATTTTGCAGGTGGAGAATTGAGAGAGATATGTTTAAATCATATTTGAGGCTCGTGATAGAACAGAGAACTGACACCCCATCTTGCTAAACCCTGATCAATGCTCCAGGTTTTCAGTCAGATTTGATGAGCTATTCATTAAAACACGACAAAAAACCCTAGATCTTACCTTGGGAAAGCTATCAGGAATGGGATCACATGTTCCCAGACCCTAGGGAATGGCTACAAGACTTTGCTGTGAACTCTAATTTGTGTTTCCCACTTGAAAAGCAGCAGCTGGGGCACCTCCCTCCCTCATAAAGACCTCCTCTCACGTACGGGCTGCACGGGAGCTGTCGAGGACATTATCTGTAATGTCCAATGGATTAAAGAAAGTTCTGTTTGCAAGATGGAGTTTACGTATCTCTGGTATTCACACACATATTCAATATTTGGGTATTCAAAAAAACCCACCCAAATCCAAGACGTGCTACAACCCATCAAGGATTAGAACACAGCTGGAGCCAGCAAACCAGTCTCAGCGGCCTCCGTTTCAACTGGAAAGCTCTGATGCTTAAATTGCAAATCTGCTCAATAAATCAATTACCCCAAATACGCTGGGAACCACTGCTGTCTGGTGGGGCACATTTCTTACTTTCCCTGCTCTCCCTTCTGATTCCTGGGAGAAATTTTCACAGGCAAGGTTTTGTTATGCAAATACCTGCAGGCACTTAATGGGATGGTCTTTACTACCTTATATTTCACAGTTTTGGTCTTATTAAATGCAATGGCAGCACTCAGCTTTCTTCTTCAACATTATGAAGGAAGCAGAAGCTTCCCCTCTCTGTACCTGCACAGTGATCCCCGTGACCCCAGAGCAGAGGTGCAGGGCAGGCTCACAGAGTTCTTGGGAGCAGGAATTCAACACTGGTGTTGAGCATTTCTATGTAATTTATGCATTTCTGGGTTGAGATGATGAAGGTTTGATACAGTAACTTGCTTTTGATGGTACACGGCTGTGTCACCTGTGGCGGTTCATGACTGCAGTTTGCTGTCACGCAGTAATTTCAACAGGATTTAGCTGCTCACAATGCTTTAGACACATGGTCCAGCCAAACCAGTTCTCAGCCTAAACCCCATGTCATCTGCCAGCACAGATAGCTCTCGTTTGGGGTCGTGATGTTAAAATAAGCTGTTGGAAGGCATGGCCAATGCCAGAGTAATAAACATCATGATGCCAAGACAGAAAATGATGGAATGACAGCCAGGGCTGCCTTACTGGGGGTAAGGGAAGCCTGTACAGCGCAGTGACCAGTACACGTGCAATGCAAGATGAGGTCTTCCCTAAAACAAGGCACAGACAGATTGCTGTCCTGCAAATAAAAAGAAATCTCTGTCTACACCTTGAATGTATCTAACTCGACATCCAGGCACAGTCGAAACGTGATCATCTCACCTAAGCTCACCCAAAGCAACGTTAAGCTTCCAGTGTAAGACTCAGCCTCTTGGCAATGGAGAGTGACAGGCAGGACCTACCCCACCACGCGAGGTGCCATGGGTCTCCTCCTGCGGCACATCTTGCCTTTTTTTGAGAGAACGTGGGCAATGGCTTCAGCCTAGAAACCTGCCATTCAGACAGCTTTTAGGTACAGGTTTGCCCTAATTTCTAAGCAGATCAGTAGATGGAACCACTTCAGTACAAACGTGGCTGATCCAGAGAAGGTAGCAGAGAAATATTTCTGAGTCTGGTGATGAGCACGGACTTTGCAACAAAGAGAAATGAAAAGTATCTGAAGAAACAGCCTGGTGACAGAGGAGTTTATCCCTGTTCCCACCCATGGTCACTACACACCATGCAAGCACAGCAACAGTAGAGCCCATCACTTGTAACCTCCCTTCCTCAGCTAAATTTCCAATATGGAGAGCCACAGCATTCCCATGGGAAATGCAAACAAGAGCAGGACGTTGAAATCACACATTTGTCAAACCCTGATGGTGATCAACTGGTGCCTCACTGGATAGAGCTAAACCACCAGAAGAACGAGTGCTGCTACTCTGTGGCTTCAAGGAGGTCTGGCATTATTTTGGCAATGAAGAAAAACCTCAAAATCACATCCTAATTTCTTGAAAAAACCATGTGTCATGAGACAGCCATTCTGCCTCCAGACCTAAAAGAAAACTTGTTATATTTTCTCCTTAAAGGCTGTAGAGGAGAAGAACATTGTGCTAAGGGATTTACATAAAGGCATAGAGAAAGAAAAACACAGCAAATCACAGCATTTAGTACTAAAGTGGGATACGGGCAGAGACGAGAAAAACAGATAGGCCAAACTAGCAGGGGACTGGGCAAATTATTCCCAGAGCCTGTAGACCCTGAAAGTCCAGTCTGGAGCCTGCTGTTGGTTTAACAGATGCCAGCAGCAGCAGAGCTAGGGCTGTACCCAGGTTCATCCAAATCCATGGCGACCAAATCAGCAGCATTCCCCTGCTGCTTGCTTCTTAAAACATAACAGGAGGTAAAACTACAGAAGAGGCCGAATTAGTTCATCATCACTAACTTTCAGTATTTGATGTATTCACTAATCCTCTGAAAGATATGAGATCTAGAGTGAATCTCGAAACGATGATTTTTAATCTAGAATAATAAGCTTAAAATTACGATAAGAAGCTTTCGGTTTGCTCCAAAACTTTTGGAGAGGTGAAAGGAGTGCTAGAAAATGAATGCTATGGTAAATCCCAGCCAGGCTGAAACAGTTAATTATCAACCTGTTAAAAGGCACTGCTTGTTTTCTCTACCCAGTCGGTACATTTTCACTCTGCTGGGTGGAAGAGAAAGGAAACGTCTTAAAAAGCTCTGCTTGTGTATGCTTCGCTCTGCTCATTGACTAATTGCTTCCAGCATTATTTACCCTAGTCTGGAAGATTTTTTCGAACGATGCTTTTACTTGCAGCTCTGGCATGATTACGGTAATCCAGAAAATAGCTACTCTAAAAGTAGCTGGGAAAATGCACCTTCGTATCCGAGGCATTTTTAAGAAGCAGCTGGGCCTTATGCATTTGAGAGAGAAGCCAACGGACACGTTGCACATCCACGCTCTGTCCTCTGCCCGTACCGCCCGCCCCTGGCACGCGTGGTCCCGGCAGTCACTCCTCACCTGCGGTCCCCAGCCGTGGCACGGGTACAATATTGCTGTGTGGTTCTCCTGGGGGCCCTGGTCAAGGCAGACGTCTTTCGCCTTGTTGTTTCGAAGCTGGAAGAAATAAAAAATGCCGAGTTATATGGCTGTGACTCTTCAGAGATAAGCAATTAACTCATCTAGCCTCTCTTGCTTTAAAGAATACACGTTGTTATATCACTGGGCATAATCAGGCAGGGAAAGGTTTAGTGTGCCATATATTTTCTTTAAGTACAGGGCCTAATGATGACTGCTTTTGTATAATAATCACCACTGAAAGGAGCCGACTTCCTTGAACACGGTTCTCTTTGTATTTGGTCATGTGTGGTGGTAACAAACATATTTTTAGACTGCTGTCAGTATGTTGCCAGGAGCCTGAAATCGATGCAGAATTGCTTGTATTTCATCGAAATCTCAAAGTGCTCAACGAGGCAGGGAGAAAAGTCCAGCTAGTACAGGCAGCTCCTTCGAATCATGGTGGGGATGCGGAGGAGATGCAGGTAAGTAGGGAACGACACACTTCGGAGGCTGCTGGGCTCCAGCCACCAGGTCTGTTGACGCAGACATGTCCTCTCTCCATGTAGGGCAACTACAATAATGCCTTTGAAAGTACTACTTTTTGGAAGGTTTTAGCTTGAAGGCATTAAGTAACTCTGATAATAAATCTTTCTTAAAATTAACGCCCATCTGGGGTGCTCGGGCTGTGCTTCAAGAAGGCTCTCAAACTGCCACTATTCCATGAGATCTATGGCAACAGAGTATTATTAGTTCCCATAAATGCCTGTTTTTATATTCCCAGTACAGACTCAAAGCCAGCAGAGATTGAATTAAGTCTCCTTACTTTATCTTGTCCTTAAGCTGTTGTGACAACGCACCGTATCCTACAGAGACCTTGTAAGGAACTAGGCTGAGTTTAAGCCAAAGGGTTTTATAAAGCGACTATATATTAAAAATATACATACAGCTGCTTAATCCATGGAGTCAATGGGCAATACAGATAATTTTCTGTCAATTCAGTAAATGAGGTATTAAAATATTTTACTGTATATGGTCTCCAAGATCAGACTCGCCTGCTGTAAATAGTAATATTAGTACTATTAATAATATAATTAATGTAAAATAGATAATAATTATATTATTAATAGAATAAGTTTAATTAGTATTTATTATTATAAAGAGTAATAATAGTCTGATCTAAGGGACTGCTGAGCCTTAATTACCTCGCCATAAGCGACGGTGTTGTTGTATCTTCTCATTTCCGGATAAACGTGGTCCAGGTACCACTGGAAATTTTTACACTTCAGGCTCTTCCTTAACGCTTTTCTCTCGGAAACATCCCCAATGTCAATACCTGGATTCTGAAAAACACAGAAACAGCACGTCACTGAACGGATACTCTTAAAAAAAAATTTTAAAGAGCGTATTCCACTGATGGTTGACGTCACTTCCAAGCTGCCTGGAAACTTGCAACTGATGAGTAACCATGCAGAGGCCATGCCAGGGAATTTTTAGGATGCGTGTCCAAGCTGAAATCATCCTCCCAGAAGACAGAAGGAAGACTTGGATTTCACGGCCACAGCGAGGAGCAGACACATACTTCTCTCCCAGGTTTTAAAGGGATCCTTGTGATGGCCACCAGACTGGTGCTGGGCATGTTTTGGTCCTGGGAAGTAATTTAGAACAGAGAACCTAAATGGGGAAGAAAAAGTTTTGAAGGAAATATGAGAAGTGCAGTGTAACAAAGGTCAATCTTCCAAATGATTCCCCAGGGTTTTGGATGCATCTGAAAAAGACTGAATTTGTCAATGGGCAGAACGACAAAGTATTTTTAAAAGATCTCACCTCCCGTTTAGGTACTGATGTACGGGACCTTCCAGAAGAGCTTAACAGCAAATGTACATCAGGATTTAAAAGTTGGTCACGCACTGAATCCTGGAAATGCAAAGCACTGACTGTGCACTGAGCACCAAAACCCTTCCCCTCACTCACCGGGAGTGTGCAGGTGACCCTACTAAGAGGCAACATAGAGGACAGCCCAGTTAAAAGGTATAAGAAAAGGAGAAAAAAAAGAGAAAGATTTGAGATTCATATATAATAGAGGCAGATAGGTAAGAATAAAGGATAAAAATTTCAGGAGAAAAGAAGTTGAGGCTGAACCTCAGAAAAACCTCTAGACAATTTGGACAATTACACAGTGAAATAGTCTCCCTGGAGACACAGAGGAACCCCGCTGCTCAAGATGACTTAAAAGCAGACAAAGCTCCGTCACCTGTCCTCGGAGGAATAATCTTACAGGAGCAGGGGCTGAGGAGAGCTGCCTCCCGTTTCATCTTTTATTCCATTACACAATTTGGGGAACTAATACAGCAGCCAGCTGAAGGAAACCAAAGGCACGTTGCAGCCCCTTTTACTCCTTCCTACAGGTGTCTGGGTTTCTACTCTATTTTAGCTCCTGCTCTTGTCTTTTCCAGTGATCATTAAATACCGCTGGGAAAGCAATTTTCCATTACAATGCTTGTAATGATCTTCTAATGAATTATTCACTCTGCTTTAGAGAAGACACCATTTTAATGTGCAACTGGTAACTCATAGGTAAAAAATAAAGACGATTCGGTGTAGACAGGCAGGACAGGCTGAAATCTGAGTGGGCGATACGGGTCACAGAGCAAAGGGGGACCACAAACCAGTGGTCCACACTGAGTGAAATACTCAGTGCGTGGGGTTTGCCTTGGTTTTGAATGAAGTGGCACCGAAAAACAATTCAGTGTATATCCATACGCTGTCATACAAGGCTTCTCTAAAATTAAAGCTCAATTTTACTGGTGAGACCTATATAAAAATCTCAAATTGTTTTTAGGGTAACCCAGATCTGTTTCCCTTGGCCCACCCCCTGCACCGATTCATTTGACGCTGCCTTTTCTGAGCCGTACGGGACCTGCGGCTTCATCTCGGATTTTAATCCCCTTTTGCCGCGCTCCAAAGCCGGTCCTGAGCAGCGGCTCAGTGCCTCACCTCTGAGAAGGAACCAGCCCGAGGATGGGGGCTGAACCCACAGGAACGAGGATCCTGCCTACGGGGTTTGGTATAAGGTATAAGAAAAGGAGAAAAAAAAAAAAGAAGAAAGATTTGAAATTCATATATAATAGAGGCAGATAGGTAAGAATAAAGGATAAAAATTTCAGGAGAAGAGAAGTTGAGGCTGAACCTCAGAAAAACCTCTAGACAATTTGGACAATTTGGACAATTTGGACAATTTTGGGTTTTTGTGACCTGTTTTTAAGAGGGACTTGATATCCTTCAGTCTCGCAGCAACTCCCCACCTCTCCGAACGCCTGGAGGCCAGCGCCCTCCTGCAGCTCGCTGTGTAAACAGTGTTCCTCTCCATCCCCATACATCTGTTTGTGAATAATGAACTAACCCAGGCCCCCCCAGCCCACCCCCAGGACAGCAAACCGCCAGTGCAGGCAGCGCATCGACCCTTCCTGGGTACCTGTTCTTCTCTAATGCAGCACAAAGTTGTGACTATCATGCCTCTAAATGCCAGGAACCCTCCCCAGCTGCCACCCCGCTCAGAAAGCAGCACAATCTCGTGGTTTTATGTTTTAATGTCTTTAAAAATGCCCCAGAGCACAGCGCTGCCAGCCAGGGTGGCTGTCACAGCAGGATCAGGAGCGAAGCGGCCCTTTGCAGGGGTGTGATCTGCAAGGTCTGAGCATTTTGTGTTTATGTTTAGCACCGAAAGGGTGGCTGTGAGTAACTGCTCACACGGGCTCTGGCCACTTGTGGTGACGGTTTTCCCTCGCACTTGAACAGAGCAGCCCAGTGCTCAGTACACTGCCAGTGGAGTGGGAGACAGGGGGCTCTGCGGGGCACCCTGAATCCTCAGCCCACCCATCACCTGGAGGGCATCGCTGCCTCTCCCTCCCCACTACCCCGTCCTTCTTCTCCTTCTGGCAGGACCAGAGGCAGGAGATGGGGTGGCTGGTCCGGCCAGGGGTGCTCCCAGCACGCTTCAGGCAGCGTTCAGAGCCAGGAGGCAGGAGATGCTCTTGGGTTTCATGATTAGACATGACCTGCATGGAGACCAGAGCTCAACAGCAGCCTTAGACCTACATAAAGTGCTTCTGAAGCCTACAGAGCTTTATGCAGAAGCACAGGGAAACACCTAGAGAGGTCCAGTGCAGGATGTGTCCCCTGGGCATGGTCAGCCTGTCTTGCTGGCAGGAACCCATGGTTTCCCAATGACTCACCGTGCTGTGACACAGCAGGATTGACACAAAAACTAACAAGTCAGATCTAAGAAAATCTAACCATTTCTGTGCAGAAATAAACATAACCACCAGAGCTATTTAAAAAGGGTGTTTTTGGTGCGTTTGCACATGGTGCTGCTGGGAGGGGATCTCCTTCAGTGACGCACCGACCTCCCATCCTTTCCCTCTGAACCCAGTTTCTGAGCTCTGATGGCCTCGATATTGCCAACAATGGGAAAGGAAAGGGCCCAGGCACCTGGTCCACGTCCCGTCCGCAGTGAGCTCTGGGCAGCGACAGCGTCTGCGAGCTGGGTACCCCGAGTCGGGCTGCACGTGGCACGGACCTGCCCGAGCCGCAGGAAAAAAACCTCACGCACTCGTGCTGCTGGTATTAATAATCTTCTGCCAAGTGACTTTACAGACAGACTCCATCTGTGGAGCAGTGTAATGACATCAACGCACGCTGTGTAAACACTCAACGGGGAGATAAACACTACAATACAGGTTTAATTTTTAGAAATGCAAATAAAAAGGCTGATGTGAATCGTAGGAATTTCTCCAAAGTCTGCAGGTTTTGCAGCATCTTTGTCAAAGCTGAGCGAGCTCTGCTGACTTCCACAGCTGGGGATGTGACCTGGGATATTTAAGGCTCTCCTTCACCTGGGGGCAGGAAATGCTCCATAATTCAGGCTTTTAACCCAGTAAAGTGAAGACTCAGAATAGGGCGCGACGGCCGTACCTCCAGCGGCAGGTTCCACGCAATGTAGACGTGCGATTTGTAGTCGTCCATCCACACCTCGGCCACCCGCAGAGCGTTGCGCTTGGTGTAGAAGCCAATGTTGTTGTTGTAGGGCTTCTTCTTGCGCTCGATGTGGGCCACCCTGGAGCAGGGCAGGACCTCCATGCTGCCACCGCACAGCCACACCTGCAACGCAACCAGACAGCACTGTCAGCACGAGGCTCTGCCGTGATGCAAAAAAAAAACAAAAGAGAAAGAACTGGGGGGGTTTGAGGTTTCGATAATATCCCGGTGAGCGCAGAGCATCGCATCAACCAGCTGGCAAGTGAAAACCCATGGCCAGTCTGGCCTTTGCTCAATGGCCAGACATGCAGGGACAATTTAACCCGTGTCCAGAGCAAAACACGTGTCGACATTAGAGGCGTCAGGTCTATATCCAGCACATGGTATTAACGTGCTGTAGGACTGAGTGCTGAGTTTACAGGGATGTTGCTACTAAATAAAAAGCATTAGGGACTGGAATAGCCGAAACAATTGCAAGATCTCCTCCTGCGGAAGGGATGACTCAGTGAAACATATGGCAGGGACAGATTTCTCCCTCTTGAAAACATTTGTTCATTATTTTTCTTTCACGTGCTGTTTAAAATTCCCTTAAATCACAGTTTACAAGTTAATAAAATTTTCTGAGATCTTTTTATCACACGCAAAGAGAATTGAGAGAAAGACACGCCATACCTGGGTTCTTCCCTCCCTGTTTGTCTTCACCAAGAATTTATTTATCTTAAATTAAAGACGCGTATCCAGGACACCAGGCAATCGTTACAAACACATATGCCAAACAGGCCTAATAATCCCAGCTTTGCCTATTTTGCAGTCTGCTCTGCATTATCATTTTGCACAGTTGTTATAACACCCATCGCTTCTGGGATCTCTTCCAGGCTCACCACCTTTTATCCCATCTGCGTTCCCTAGATTTTACCGCCCCTGCTCAATCCGCTCTCCCGGCACCACGAGGAGCCCCCGGCTCCAGCAGCCCTTTTGGAGCCCTCAGTGGTAGGCTCAGCCCACCCGACGCAGGGCAAGGGCACCTCCCAAGCCCAGGGGACATGAGGAAGGAGCCGTCCTTCCGTGGGGCAATCCTGCCACTCACGCTGCTCTCACTTGGATTGCTACAGACCGTAGGAGCTCGCATCACAAAATCGAGAGCCTCCTTGTGTTAGCTGGTGCATAAACACGTAGAAAAAAACCCTGGTTTACCCCCATTCTGCTGTTTGACCTTTCTGACCACCTTTAAATATAATTTCATGACTTCAGAGCAAATTCAGAGCTGATCTCTAAGACACGGCGCATGCCTGTCCCTCCCATCCAGCCGCAACCACGCTCGCCTTTGGCCAACAAAGTCCACAAGGTCTGCTCAAAGTTTTGCAATGGACCACACGCTGGCAAAGCAAATAAGAAATGAATGAGGTAGTTCTAAAGACAAAAAAAATCCAAATTTAAAGGAATATTCCCAAGGCAATAGTTTGACAGACCCTGCCTGTGTTTCTTGCCTGCTCAGTGCTTTAGTTCCTCAATGCCTCAGTGAAACAGGAGCATCGAGCTCTGCCCTTGGGTGCTCCCAAAGCTGCAGGGTTCAGCTGCAATGCTGAATAAAATTGCCAGTCTTGGAAGATCCCTAGCCCCACCTGTTTTTGTAGTTTTGGGGATTTGTTAGGTTTCGTCCTGATTTGAGATCAGAATAATGATTTTCAAAATGGAAAAACCATGACGTAATTCAGATGTCATTTTCCAGCAAGCCTGCCTCTAGCAGTGAAGGTGCAGTATTGTCTTTCTGTGCTGTAGGTAAATAATCCACACGGCTTCATGTTAGACAGCTTTCCTAGATTTCTGGAGTATCTGTACAAACTATCTTGAAATGCACATCCAAGAGAGAAAGAGCATTGGGCATTGTGCAAAGGGCACTGGTTATATACGTATCCACAAGCCAGTTCCAGAGAGATCAATAAAAATTTAATTCAAAAAAGGCACTTATGCAAGGAAAGACCGTACTTCTAATTAAAGCCTAAATTGTCATTATAAATTTAAAACTCTAACTTTTTACAAGGCATTTATAACCATTTTTGCTGGTAACAACAGGAGCAAGGAGAACTATTACACGGGAAACAGCCAAGCTACACCTGGCACCACTGTCCTTGGCGTATGGAGGAATAAACCATGGCCCCAGGAAGATATTGCTTGTTCCCACCTGGCCTGGCAAGGACTTTCTGTTTCTGCTAACATGCAAAAATGCATGTGAGCAGGTCCACAGGTGACAGCACAGAGACTGCAACCCAGGAGACATCCTCCATAGCCACGAAGGACGAGGTGTCTTTGCCCTACAAGCCCAGCATGATGCTCTATCTTTGCGATAACCACAGCTGTGGAGCAGTGAAGGGTTCTGAGAAAGGTCCCAGACTCTGTTCTCTTGGCATCAGCATGAGATGAGCTGTGAGACATCGTGACCAAAAGGTCTCAGCAGACACTCCATCCTCTAGCACGGCTGGAAGTCATCGCCTGGCTGATGCTCTGATGCATCTCGGCCAGTTGTGTTCACGTGCCACAGTTGAAGACCACACTCAGCTGTGCACACACGCGCAGAGGCAGCCACCTCCACTGAGCTCACTGCACCGACGTCCCAACCTGCAGCCACTCCACTCTGGTGGCACTCAGACCACTGAGGGCAGAAGATTCTTTGGGAACCTTCATTTATGTTCCTATTGAGCAGCCATTTGTCCCACCAAAGACCTTTAACAAACAGATGACCTTCCTTTAAGCAGATTTTTCATACTTAGAGCAAATAAACCTACAATTGCTTAAGATACTCTATTTACTGTAACTACCAGAATTAACAGGACAAGCTGTTGTTTCTGCTAATTCCTTGAAGAATTATCTCTTAGTAGATGGGTAATCAAGAGCCAGCATAACATTAAGACCAATCAGAAAAATAAGGTGTTGTCAAATGAATTCATGTTCAGCCTATTTAGCAAGGCAGAGCCTTTTATATTGCTTCTGACAAAGGATGAATTCATGATCACTTCATTTTATAAAATACGCATGGATGGGATGTAAAGGCATGTTTAAAAACTCAAGATAGTATCTGTAACACAGCAGGTTAAATATGACGAGCAAGTCTCAAGTTTCTCCCTTATTTTCTGACATTCAAATTTCAACACGACTATTAGCTTGCCATTCATCCACCCGTAAAGAGACGCAGAATTAAAAATAGAAGCATTCCCCTCCAGTAAATGACGGTGACTCAATAACTTCTCCATCAGTCTACACACAGGAGTAATCAAACACACAGAAAGATGCTTAGATTTATAAATAAGCAGTTAACACTGAATTCTAGTGAAGAAATCCCAGAGAAACAAACAGAAAACAAATCCATCACCCAGAGATCTTTGATGTGTTTTTCAGAAAGCTGATGGGTAATACACTCGCAATTATTTTCCAAACAAAATGTGACTGTCCTAAGAATTCAGCATGGAAAAGCAGTGATTCCTCTGAAGTCGTGAAATGTTTGAGTAGAGCTGAAACCCCATCAGCCATCGACTTTCTAGAAGTGTTCGCACACGTGGGAGGCAAACTTTGGTTAGCACGAGACTGCATCACCTCACTCCAGGGACGGGATGACCCAGCTTTGTTTCCTAATCGTCCTCCAGATGCACAAAGGTGTCACAGATGTGCAAAAACATTCATGAAACAGTGACCTGCACTGGGGATAACCCAAAATGGGGAGTGGATCTGGCGTGATGCAACACGGCAGCAGAGCTACAAGGGAGGTTCAGGCATCTCTCTTGTGCTCATGCACCTGCATGTTAGCGTGGGTGTGCAAGTACTCGGTGACATTCAACAGCAACATATTCTTCCACCTCCTGGCCAAGACCTCAGCATCTTCTCTGCTTTCAGGCCTCTGTTTGCAAAATCAGAGTTGTTTTTACATTGCTCTTGTGGAGCACTCTAGACGTCATTCCTAGTGACGGCTAGGACATGAGCAGACGCAGCATTTGGGAGCATCCTGGAAAACAGCGGTGACCAGGCCTGTTGGACAGGACTGCGGGTAAGCCAAGGGAGAAGACACCCTGGCACTGCCTGGGAAGTGCACGTCCCCTGCAGTTACTGCACTCCTGGTAATGGACAGAGCGTGGAAGATTGCTCATAAAACACAACATCCTTTGTGCGTGTAATAGAGACAGCGACAAAATCCCTATTTCGCTTGACCAGCTCATTGCAACAGCTGCAGAAATAATTTTCAAAGTGTTAAGCAGTTAAGAACAATTACTGTCCATGATCCCTTTTGCCCTCAAAAATATACTGCAGCTATCAATTTGCTTTGCTCCTGTCTGCCAGAGCCAGCAATTACTCTCAAAGAGCATTATTTAAACAAAAGGGCTTTTGGCTACCTGCCTAATGTCAAAGGCGTCAGCCAGGCAGAAGAGGGTGACCCAGGGCAGACCCACCACCCAGGAGGGTGCCGAAAACCTGTCCCATGCTACATCAGGCTCAAGGCATCGTCTGCACTCCCCAGACAAGAGGGGCTAGAAATACGTGTTGGAGGGGCTGGCCACGCTCATGCCTTGAGGTTGGCAGTGCTGGTGCTATTGGTGCTTTACACGTCTGGTTTGCTTGGAGGGAGTAACCCAGAAGATGTGTTTGGATGCCACTTGGGGCAAGCAGGAGGATGCTGCTGAGAACAAGGGGCTGCTGCCTTGTCCCACACCTCATCCTCTCCAGCAGGTCCAAGCTGCTCCTGCCCAGGGTGCTGTCCTGCTCCGCTCACCCCATGGAGCTGGGGCCCCTCGGGGCTCCCTCCCTTGGGTGCAGGTGCAGCAGCATTGCAGTCCAGACAGCACCTGCTGAGCAGCAAAGGACACACAGGTGAAGGCACGGCCAATGGGTGACAAAATTAATGCTGAAAACAGGTTTAATGCATATATATTATGAAAAGCTTGTTCCCCTCCCCAGCCTTCTGCAACCAGTCCTTGCTATGTCATGGTGCCCACTAGCAGGGAAGCAGAAGATAAAATTATAATTTAAAGGAGAGTATTTTCAGCAGAAGATCCTGACGCAGGGGCTGCTTCCCCTGGGATGACGGAACAACTTGCGCGTTGCGCTTCTCTTCACAC